CAGCAGGCTGATCAAGCTGGGACTGCTTTCCTCTTTGAAGGCAAGAAAAAAAATGTGCAAGGCCTGGGCTGGTTTTCATTCGTGCAAGTACCACCTTTTTTGGGAACAGCAAGGGTGTGAAACCAGCCTACGGAGCCTGCTGTCAGCAGTGGGTGTCACAGCCCACAGCCAGTCAATAGTCATTAGGAGCCAAAAAGGCAGAGAAACCCGGCCAACTCAAGCAAAAGATGCAGCAGCAAAGAAGAGCGCAGAAATCTGGTGTTACTTCTCGCATCATGGTCTGCTTTTATTCTTGCTGTATTAAAACTGTCATGGCTTTATGCTAATGGGGTTCATTCCTAGCCAGTGATTATTATGCTTTGAATTAGCAGTGCTCTTGAGAGTATTTTTCACCAAAAAAAAAAGAGGTAGTCTTTCTGAGAAATAGGAGCGAGAGGGAAAAAGAGCTTGTTACTTGCATTAGCTCAGAGCTGTGTGTGTTTGGAGAGGATAAAGGAGAAGGGCCATGTTCGTGGCTGATGTAGAGCACAGCAGGACTCCCAGAGCACAGATCTGTGTGAGAGACGATACTGAAATTCAGGGAAGAGCAGTCAAAATATGGAAATGGTTTTGATGGTGTGTTTGACTTTTAATGAACCCGCCCTTTGGGTAGATTACTTTTGACTCCAGCGTTAGTTTTGCCTGGCTGTGAATCCATACTCTTTACCCTGAATGGAAAAAGCTTCCCTGGGGGCAGTGAAAGCCCAGCTGGTGTGGGACGGAGGGGGATGTGCAAAGGAGAGGGTTTTTAAGGGATGTCAGTTCTCCGGGGAATGGCCTCAGCAGTACCAGTTAGGACCAGCTCTCAGAGGAGCTGTTGCAAATCTGAGATTTACTAACTAAGGCACCTGGGTAGCAGAAATGGTGGCTCTGATGGGGAAAAGGAGAGAGGGTGAGCAGCGAGAGGAATTTCATTATATTTCAGCTGTGCGTTTATGCAGCAGGAAACCTAATTCAGCAGCAGTAGTGTGTCATTCCCAGTTTGCTCAATGGGCCGCTTCTACACCCTGTATCCCCCAGGTAAGGCAGCAAAGACAATACCAGCCCATTCCTTTTAGCAGCATCTCTAAAAAATCACAGCAGTGGAACACAGTGTCATCTTACGTGCTTTAACGACAGGCATCTTAAAAATGAAGGTGGGGGAAAAGGCATGGTCCCTTTGGATCTGCATATAAAGTGAGGTGGTCTGTACCCCGTGCTGGTCTTCAAAGCCCAGCAGGTTCCAGTGAAATCAGAAAGTGTAAGGAAATTTCTGATTTCCTCTTCTTTTTACCCTCACAGTTTGTTCAGCATAACCAGCCAATTCCCAGCCTTGATGCAGCATGTCCCAGACCCTGTACAGGACAGAGCCCTGTAATGGATTCTCTCTAGAAGAAAGTATTTCTGTAGGCAGTCGGGCACAAAGAGCTGGAACAGAATGAAATGCTTTGACTGGACTACCTTTTTTTCCTCTGCTTTAAATGGAAAGAAGATGTTCTCAGAAATGTCTGTATTTCTCTCTATTACCCCAAAGAATAATTGTTTTTAACCGTTGCCACTGAAGCAGTTGGGGTCTCTGTATCTTGGTGGCTAGCTTTTTTTTCTGCGGAAAGTTATAGGCTGCTGTATCCAGTAGTGATATTTTACAGGAAGAAGGGTTGTGTTGCCAATGTTAAAAACAAACAAAACAGCACGAACAAAATAACCAGCCTTCTTGCAAAAACCTGAGGGGCTCAAATAGTATTCCAGCGTGGAGTTCTGATAATGAAACTTCCTTTGTGTTAGAGACGCGTCTCCGGCTGTTCCCATGAAAACCCACCTAAATTTGGCACACTTAAAGCCTCGGAAAAATTTGCATTGAGACACATGAGAATTTGCCAGCCAAAATCTCTGGCGATTCTGTCAGCATGGAGTAGATGTGCTCATCCCTTCAGAGCTATGTTCTTGCTGAGGTTCCCGAGCCTCTGCTCATGGCTGAGGTTAATACTTAATATACTAGTGGTGAAATAGAAACACAGGGGTGCTGGCTTCAGAGCGGGAGAGGTGGCAATCTGTGTCCTGTCTTTATGAATCCAGACTGTGTTTGTGCAAACCACTCAAATCAGTTTTACTGGCAGTGTCGCATTACAACACAAGCCTGGGAAATGATATTCCTTAAAAAAAACCCACCCAACCAATACCAACAACTTTAAAAAAAACACAAAAACCCCTCCTGTATGCTGACTGAATTGCGCAGATGCTTTTTTTGGGGAGAGGGAGTGCATGCTTCAGCCCAGGGCTGGGAGAGCTTATCGCAGCCTTGGCAGCTGTGGCATGGAGAGACCCTTGCCCCTGGGCTACTGGTACCTTTCCCCTGTCGGTGTTCTCCTTTGCGGTCCTGGCTTACCTCTCTCTGTGTCTCTAATCACAGGGACATCACTTCTCAAAACTAGCAGCATTCATTTTCCCTGCAAATGTGAGGGGGGGACCACGCAATGTGACGCCAAGTGACCACCCCCAGACTTCTCTTGCTCTCATCGGGGAGGAAGGAGAATTTAAATTTTTCAGATTTTTTTTAAGTATTGAGACGATCATGATGTATTACAGTGTAAAGGTTGAAGAAAGCTGAATTTTTTAACAACAGAAGCTCAGTGAACACCCCCCTAGGGAATTCAGCCCTAAGTGTGGACTCTATTAAAATTCTCCAAGTCCCTGTATTAAAAGATAAGTTTAAGAATTGGAGGGGAATGAGTGGGCAGAAAAGTGGGACTGGAAGGAACCTTCTGAATTGTTAGCACCCTTTCTGTCACTAGGAAATTCCTAATGCAGTGCCTTTTGTAACCCAGGCAGTTTTAATGGACATGGTAATGATTCCAGAGGGTCATTATTTATCAGGGTCCTTGCTCCTGATAAATATTAGTTCATGGAAATGTCTCTTTCCATTGCAAAAAAAGACTTGCAATATTTCTTTTAAGCAGTATTGCATCATTTTTGGAGCTTTCTCTTCCCCAGTCTCTGTCACGCTTCCCCAGGAATGGCTGGCGGATGGACTGCCAGCTGTCTAGAGCGATGCAGAACAATTTGTTAAAGATTATAACTTTGCTATTGTAATAATCCATATTCCTGTTGAAAGTGATTGTTAATATTGATCTTTACAGTAGATTATGGATTCCACTGAAAAGAAAGAAAATAATGTTAAAATAATAAAGACTACAATTTTTTCCCTTTTTTAATGTTCTCTGTAACCATGGAAAATTTTGACCATCTGTGTGGTTCTCTGGTAATTTATTAAAGCATTTATTTCATTCTCCCCCCCTTTTTTTTTTCTCCTTTTCTTGCTGAAACTACAGCTGAGGAAGTGGAAAGACTGGCTGCAATGCGTTCAGATTCTCTAGTACCTGGGACTCACACGCCTCCAATCAGAAGAAGAAGCAAATTTGCCACTCTCGGAAGGCTTTTTAAGCCATGGAAATGGAGGAAGAAGAAGAGTGAAAAATTTAAGCACACTTCGGCAGGTAATAGCTGCGGTCGGGTTGGTTTGTTAATCTGGAACTGTTTGCTCAACAAGGCTAAAAATTTGTAATGCAGCCCCAATTTATACATGTTTTTAAGGTTGTTGAAGCTTGGCTTGGAGAGATTTCTCAGAGTCTAAGAGATCTTTAACTTTGTTACCAGCTTTTTCTTTAAAAAAACCCAAAACAACATATTAGGTGCACTCCAATTAAAGCAGCAGCTCACCAAAGCTGTGTATTCAGGTTCTGCTACTAAAGCTAGAGGGTAACCCAGAAGATAGCTTGTTACATTGATTTAGCATATTATGGGTAAAGGAAATGCAGTATGAAAAGACACTAGTGGAGGATTAAGCCACATTCAAACTCCTGTAAGTGCTAATAGAGGAGCGAGAAAATACATGACAAAGGAGTTGACGTTGTGTTGAGTAACTTGCGTAACCATAAATTGTTTGTTCCATTGGGCAGGAAAGATATGCTACTTGTTTTCTGAGAAACACAAATCTCTCTTCCTGCCACACTCCTCCTTCTGCCATCACTTTCTAACACTCCTGGTTTAAGACTCTTTTTGATTAAAAAATAAGTATGGAAAACTGCAAAAATGTGTTTTTGTGTTGTGAATTGGTTTGAGTAAGAATCCCAGATCGAGGCACTGATGCATGTGGTGGAAGTTTGTACCTGGCATGTTTGTTTTCAAGCTTTGTGATCTATTTAGAAGGTTTCTTTTCTTTGTTCTTCAACAACGACTAATAATAACTACAAGTGGTTTTGCAAGTCTTGAGCCTGGATTGTCTGTGAGAAAACATGAGTTTTCTTCTGATTTCTTATAGTTCTCACTAGAACTAGAAAGAAAGCAGTACGGATCTTAGAATCATAGGATCATAGAACTGTCGCAACAGGCCCTGCTAAAACGTTTGCCACCATCTTTTTTATAAGCCCCCTTTAAATGCTGATAGGCTGCAAGAAGGTCTCCCCGAAGCCTTCTCTTCTCTAGGCTGAACAACCCCAACTCTCTCAGCCTTTCCTCATAGGAGAGGTGTTCCATCCCCCTGATCATTTTTGTGACCCTCCTCTGGACTCGTTCCAACAGGTTTGTGTCTTTCTCATGCTGAGGGCTCCAGAGCTGGATGCAGTACTGCAGGTGGGGTCTCACCAGAGCAGAGTAGAGGGGCAGAATCACCTCCCTTGACCTGCTGGCCACGCTTCTTTT